AGAATGCATATTCAAGCTGATAAAGCAATCGATTTTATTTAGATAACAAAAGAAATATAATACTTATTAAAAAAACATCATTACCAACAAATGAAAGAAACAGAATAGACAGGAAAATTTCTATTCAATACATCCAAATAATTACAAAAAAAAAACATTTAAAATCCTCTATTCAATAAAACCGTTATAAATTTAATTACAAAAAAAAACGTATCAAAAACCTTCATTCTATTTATTTCATAATTCAAATAAACAATTTATCTCTAAATTCAAAATTGATTGTAAGCTTTATATAAAAAAATACCAAATTCAGACGTTAAGATTATCTAAAAACAAATTAATTTTTCTAAAAAAAACTCATAGATTTAATTGTTTCTAATAATAGTGTTATTATAAGCTTTGTATGCTCATTGTCTACCAATTTACTTTTACCTTGACATGATCTTGTCTTTATATGTCTGCAATTTTTAATCATCTACATTAGTAAATTTCTCGCCTTCCGTTGTGCCAATACTATCATCCTCTTTTTTATTTAACCATTAAGATCAACATCAATACCACAAAATAACCTTGTACTATTCCCAAACAGACACTAACAAGGCCACTATGTCCTTGTATAGTGCTTACTCTTTTTCTTCTTTCGAAACTTAGTTAAGTATTTGCTCGTTTTTCCTTACAAATTCGATTTGTCAAAGAAAAAATTTCTTGCTTTTATTTCTATGATTGAAATTTTATTAAAAAGTCGTCCTTGTTGCATTCCTCTTGTCTAGTTTCATTATCTAATTTATTTTTATCTCAACAGAATTACTCATGCATCTTTAAATGATTTATATACTCATTCATGCATGTGTATTTTAAGGATTTTTATATTTCCTGACCTATAAAAGAAAACATTTGCTATATCACATATAAAGTTTCTTTCGAATATTAATAAAAGCAAAGAAAAATTCGATTGATGTTTTGTTTATTAGATGCATTAAAAAAAACCTTGAGGAGGTTGGTAAGCATTTCATATCGATGTTAGATTTCATCTTGTTTGTTGTTGTTTTGAGTAAGAATGAAACGGACACTTATTAGTAAGACGACCATGATTTTAACCTACGCACAATGATTGTTTTTTTGGCTTCACATTTAATTCATCAAAATGAAGAAAACAAAAGTCACGAATACATAAGAAAAAAAAAAGCCTAAAACATTCGACATTTTTCTCAAAGATGAATAACATAACACGTAAAATAGGATAAGAGAAAAAAAAATCAAATAAAAACTTTCATCCTAATGATAGATAAAACAAAATGCAATGGCTTAACACTGATAGATTATTAATGGTTGTATTTTTATATGTCAATTGATTTTTTTGTATGATTGAATTAGTTTTCTTAACATAATTTAAATCTGATTTACTATAGATTCGATTGAAAATTATACTTTTCATGTTTTCTAAATATTATATTGACGAATAAAAGAAGGTCATGCATTTAATCCAATACGTGTTTTTCATATTGATTGCATGAATAGAACTAATGAATTCAATCATTGTCGTATATATATATATATACTAGATTAAAGACAAGATTGATTGAGAAGTCAGAAATCACGATCATTTCTACATGTAAAATATTATCAAAATATTTATCTTCGATAAAATAATATATCATAAGAAACAGATAATATTTGTCGATTTTTATCTGTTTACAACTAAATATGTAATAGAAATATTTTCTACATTCAGTGACCTAAATATTAATTTTCTTGTATGTTGAATGATGATAAATATTTTTCGAGAGTTATCAATGGATGATCATGATCATTTTTAGCAAAAAAAAAAAACTCGATAAAAACGGATAGTGAAGTTTTTGATTGATGACAAAAGAGAAATATATACTGAATATTTATCTAGAAAATGATTAATGAGAAGCAAAGAAATCATTTGATTGATATTGTTTAGTATTATAAATCAAATAGATGATTATGATGCACTAACTATATATCATACAAAGTGATTGTCTGAATGAAAGTTTTTTAAAAAATTTATTTCATATAAAAGATTTTTCAAGACGTTGAAATTAAAAACCTTTTAATATTTTATATCGATCGGATTCTATTGACAAGGAACTAATGAATATATTAAAAATGGATCAAATCTGTTGTAGACGATCTAAAACCAATTGAGATAAATTGCTATTTTTCCATAGTATGTGCGAATTACAATTCATTTTAAGATTGATGTTTGCAACGCTACGAAAAACATTCTATTATTGAAAACTATGGAAGGTAAATTTACTGAAAGAACTAAATAAAAGGAAATTTATTCGTCATCCATAAAATGAAACATCCGTAATTTTCAGAATTAATATAAGTAATCTATAGAGAAATATTGAAAAATATTAGGAAATGTTATTCAAAGTTATTATACATTTGGAATTTTTATGAACCAAAATTAATAGAATGAAAATAATATACGTAACTTATATTATTTAAAATCCTATTCCGTAGGGTATGAAGAAAGTATGATTAGTCGAAAAATGAGTACAAAACTACTTCATATGAATTACGTATGTGTTCAGATTTTTTAAACTTCCACATAATATTTATATTGCTTTAAGTCATGTACGGTATCTTCCACATTCGTAATTATTTGGCAATATTCCATCATATCAATATCAATCAAATAAGATTGTTCGATATTATCAGCTTCTTTTAGTAAATGTCTTCCAGGCATATCTGATGAGATAAGGTTACATTATAAAAATGAATCTCATTAAACTCAAGGTAAATTCAACATAGATATGCCATGATTGCTCACTGATAGTATTCTCTCACAAACTATTATCGAAAGAATATCTATTTCGATAGCTTATCTTGTGCAACAGTCAGTCATTATAGTCAATGTTTATTCATTCGCTTGATAATATTTGATAATAATATTTTACTTAGTAAAAATAGATTTTCCATATAGAATATTTTAGCAATAAACGATCTAATAATGTGAAAAAATTGATTGATTTTTACATTCTACGATGCAAAAATAACAGAATCAGCAGTGATCGAGTATCATTTTGCTCATTATGCCAATTATTGAATAAAGACTCTGTTGATATTTTTGGAAATATAAGATCGAATGAATTTTTATCTATTTTTCATATTATATTAATTATTATCTTTAATGAAGAAATACGAAACAAGCAATGAAGAATATTATTTAATGAAATAACAGACAGTTTTTCCTTATCAAAAACTAAAATATGCAATATATCACTAGTATTTTTAATGTTGTATAGGTTATCGAAAGGATAATGACAAATATGAAATCTTTTTCTTTTCAGAATTTTATTAAATGATGGTCTTTCGATATAGCAAGATACATAAAGTTCTAACGATTAAAAATTACATCTATCTTTTTCATTAAAATATAGCTAATAGTAAACAATTTGAAAGTTTTCATGATTAAATTCTAATCCAAGTTTTATTTACAAATTGATCAACGATAGAAAAATTCTCTTTCTTATTTTTTAACTTACAGTTTCTTGTCTTATTATTTTTACTAGAAAATTACTTTTCAACATAAGAATTGAAGTTTATTCATCATTTTAATTGAGTTCTAATTATTTTCAAGGATACATGTATTAAAAAGTTCATTATATTTTTTTTTTCGTGCAACGTACTCTTATTTGGAGATTATTTTTAAAGAACATGCGACGTACTAGTGTTTTCATATTACATAATGAGTGTTCTATGTATAATTGATGAAAAAGTTTTTTATAAAATCGATTTAGGACTATTGACATTCATTTGTATGATACAGGTTGTACGTGTGCATTATCTTTACAATATTAATGCGCTGTAAAATAAAGTTTTCTAATTACAAAAACAAATTTAAAAAATTCTAAATTATTCATAGATCAATGAAAGCTTTTAAACGTATGCTGATAGATTGCCATACATTTCATATTGAATATTTAACTAGCAAGATCTTTAATTGTATGGTAATATGAACCATTAAAATAATCGGAATTGAAGTTCAAAGAGTTTGTAATGAAAATTATTATTCGTCTAGATTTCCATAACAATAACAAGGACAACAAAAACTCTTGCTGATCTCTACATGAAGAAAATTATTTCTATTTACAATCAATAGAATATGATTGGGGTTATTTAATGGATTGCTTTTATTGTTTATTCATAGCGTGAAACGAGATAACTGTTTATTCATCATTGAATTGTTATGTCTCATTGACAATGCATATTCTTACTTTTACTCAATCTAATTTACATAACTGCAAAAAAATTCATTAGGATCAAATAGGTTTATACTTCAAACAGTTAAGCGATATTCGTATATTGACAGTTATTAGCTTTTCAAACCTATTAGATGTAGGAGCATAATTTATGAGAGGTGTGTGAGATATGACACCTCCTGCACCTTTGAAAATTGTCAACGCAATACCCCATTTCCTGAAACTCAAGTAGTTTCTGCCTCATTCCTGTTTGTAGCAGTCATGGCTGAGTGGCTACATCGTTCGACATGTATCCACAAGTTACTGTGTGCAAATCTCAGTATCGTCATCCAGGAAATGAGCCTGGACAAGCTACTAGTCGCCATCTGTCTCAGATTGCCCCTCTAATTGTATGTTGTCTACATTGTAAAATACACCTATTCTTATGGTTAGTTAGTGTTTATGGAGCGCTCAAACAGCTAAGAGCAAGAGCTGTACATTCGGCCAGTCTTCTGGTCAGAGTTACAGCTAGTCATAGTTGTAGGAAAGATATAGGACTATTGATCTACCTTTAGGCAGCACCCATACCGCAAGATAGTAGAACCATAGGAATAGTCTTGCTTCCTTCCTCTTGCCCGCAGTGCAAAGTTACGCCTGCAATCAGACTTTTGCATCAAGCAGCTTACAACACATATATGATAGATGGATAGAAAGTTCTACATAACATAAACATTGGTTTATATCTTTCATATTTGTTAAACTGTTTAGTCTAGGAATATATGTTTAACGAGTTATATCTTCGTAATTATGTACAATTTGTAGACAATCAAAATGATCTATTGTATTCGTCTGAACAATATTAAATAAAGTATTTATTTCTATGAAATAATAGTTTTATATAAGTCATTGATTTTATTCTAATAAAAACTAATAATTTTCTTTTAAAATTTGCAAACTCTTTCCACTGTTTATTTCTTATTGATAAATACTCTGAAAATCTATGGAATGTCAAATATACAACAACAACGAAAATATTTACAAAAAGTATATATAAACTAATCTATCTTTTCTACAATAACAAGAAAACAAATAAAATAATTAATATTAAATAAATGTTTATTTTCATTGATATTGAAATTGATATTAAGTTTTTTTCTATTTGAATTATTGTTACATTTTCTATAGTCGTTAAATTTCCTCTTTCCGTAGTATTTTCCAGATATTGTGCATTAATAAGTGTTGTTTTTGTCGATGTTGATTGTGACTTAATCTTTTTTTTCTTCTCACTTGCTTTCAATTTTGCTTCACATGTTCCTTCATATGTAGCACGTTCAGCATCTGCCCAATTACAAAGATTTAATTTTGTATGTTGTTGTCCATCTAAACAAATATCATATGAACAATGAGAAAACCAATTTGTTAATTTTGATATATAATATCGATCTTGTCCTTGTTGTGTACATGTTAAATCATTGTAATTATTTAAATATTTTCGAAATTTTATTAATGTACAATTACATTTTAAATTAATATTATTATTAATATCAATTTGATTTATTTCATTTGTTGTTGTATTAATTAAACGACATAATAATTCGCTAAATGTATTTAATGATATAAGATTATTTGAACGAAATGTTAATTTTTCTAATGATAATATATTCAAAAAACAAAATGCACGTATTGATGTATTGTTTAAATGTTTATTATAATCGAAATCAATGAAACGTATTCCATGAAGATTCGATGCAAAATAATCACTAATATAATGAATATGATTTGATGAAAAATTTAAAGTTTCTAATGAACGACTAGATAATTTAGGTACATGTTGTAATGAATTATGTGCTAAATTTAAAATTTTTATTTGTAAAAATGAACGAAGAAAATTATTGTCAATTAAGCGTATTGAATTATGTTCCAGACGAAGCTCAATAAGATTATATAAACCATCAAATAAATGATAACATATTGTTGTTAAATTATTATAACTTAAATCAAGCATTTCTAAATAATAATGACCACGTCCTACAATCGTTTGATTATATTCATCAGTTGTATTTTGAGTTAATTTTAATAATGTATAAATACTTGTATCATTTAAATGACATGATACAAGATGAAATTGTTTTAATAAAGGTAAATTAAGAAGAATTTGTCCAATATCCAAATATGGAAATTGATTGTGAGACACATCCAATGTTTCTAATAGAAAAAAGTTTTTTTTTTATAACTTATCATTAATGAACATAATAAGAAAAACAGAAGAACATACGTAAACTGACACCTGGTGACAGTAATGTTTGAGGATAAAGTTCTTTCAATTGATTATTATTAATAAATAATTGTTTTAAATTTTTAATTTGATCAAATGCTGTTATTTCAATTCGACGAATATAATTTGAATTTAAATTTATTTTTTCAACATATATATCAGCAAATACATAATTGTCAACAGATGTTATATAATTAAATGAAAAATCGAGTGCATTCCAGCGCATATTATTTGGTAATTTAGGTAATGAATGAAGTTCACTTTTAAGACATCGTAATTGAGATTCATGACCTGAATGATAACATTGACAACGAACAGGTAATATTAAATGTTTACAATCAGAAAATATATATGGAGATATTATATCTTGACTTATTGTTAGATGTAAAATAAATACAAACCAAAAGAACATCATAATTGTTTTGTCTAAAAGAAAAAAAAGCAAATCAAAGAATAATCTTTAACCAAAACATTTATCACTGACTGCTGTTGTAAGACATTCTTTTCTTCTATCATTTATTATAATTTTCTACTCGACAATCAATGCAAAGAATAAATGATGATCATTTTTACATATTTAGTCTGCTGGCAATATCGAATAAAGACGAATGGAGTTCTCTTGAGAATGTATACTATTGGAAAGGATAGGTTTTTGTTATGTCTTCATCTATCAGCATGAGACGTACATTATATTTTAAGAGACATGGCACTTCAATCGATTTACATTTAATAAAATGCATTCAAGAAGAAAAGAAAGAAGAAACTATTAAATCAATAGAGAAAAGAAACAACGACAAGATTTTTTTTTATTGAGTCTATAAATATATAATAAGCCACAACTAAATTTAGTCTACGAATAAGGCGTTAGTATGTTTGTTATTATAAGATATTTTATATACTTCTTATCACATACCTGCGTCAATATATTATAATGTCAGCAGTGCTATCCTGCAACATATGCGATGAAAGATGAACATGACAAGTATCCGATTGGTGCACACGTCAATTTTACTCTTAACACGTAATGTGTCAATCAATCTCATTAACACTAGTGAGATGGATATTTTTGTCCTTGATGTGCAAGCTACCACTAGCAGTAATAGTCTCGCATGTCTTCATACTTGTCTCTTTCTTTTTCTTTCAATAGTATCTCTAATAAAGATGTACAAGAAAGATCAAATATACACGACAGCGGATGCCATACGAAAGAAGATGGGTAGATAGAAGAACTTTCTATATTCTATGGAATATTATGCATATAGATAGCAGAGAAAAACGTGTCTATCATCAAATATTTCTCTCTTGCTATACATTAAGATGATGATAGAATATGAAAATGACGCATATATACATATATCTATACATGCTGCGGGCATTTTTATCAATGAGAAGAAAAAGGTGCTGATGTGATGATTTTTTTTCGAGAGTATCGAACACAATGCTGATGATCGATGGGACTAATTCAAAGGATCTGAGCTAATTTCCGGCTTCCGCTTTTTTTTTTCTTCTTTTTTTTGATTCACTAACCTCACTTTATATATGCCAATGATGATCTATTGCTTCCTTTGCAACCAATCACCCAAATTATTATTTCTCATCTGACATTTGATTGTGGACGTGGATATGACGCACATATTGACATATTTAACACTTTTAGCTTATTATTCACGTAGACAAAAAATGAGAAGTTCAGCTTATTGCATGTGATATGATTATAATTGACAAGAAAGCTTACAGACCACTAACTGTGTTTGTCTATCTAGACATAATATTAATTTGTGTCAGATGTTATTTTCTTCGATACTTATAAACAAAAAAAACTAAACTACGCAAGAATAAATGATGAACATTATTATTCATGAGATGTGATGTTTTTCTTTCTTTTCTGTTGAAATATTTACGCATCAATTAAATGCATATTATTCTAATCAAGAAACTATATTGTTCATTAATATTTATGAAACTCAAATATAAAAGAACGATCATTTCTTTGAAAGATAGCGACATCTGTAATTTTTTATTTAATGAAAACTCTAATTAAGAAATATAAATCTTTGTCAAAATTTATTTTTCTTTCATTTTTTTTATACTAATCTAAATTCATTAGAAAAGAAGTCTAAAACAATGAATCATAATCAAACATCATGTGAAAGATCAAAATAATGTCGCAATGGTATTTGTACAGTTCTCATTTTTATGCTCTGTTGTTTTTGTTTTCTTCTTCGAACATATACATATGCATATAGACGTAAAACAAAAGTGAAATATACACCTATTCTTTTTTTCTTTAGGTTAGATCAAGTTTAAAATGGCTGCTTTACGGAAAAAACTTGTTATTGTTGGTGATGGAGCGTGTGGTAAGTTACATAATATAAAACAATTTTTTCTTCTAGAAATACTTATGTTTTATTTTCTAGGTAAAACTTGTTTGTTAATTGTATTCAGTAAAGATCAATTTCCTGAAGTTTATGTTCCAACTGTATTTGAAAATTATGTTTCTGATATTGAAGTCGATGGTAAACAGGTTGAATTAGCTTTATGGGATACAGCTGGACAAGAAGATTATGATCGTTTACGTCCATTATCTTATCCGGATACAGATGTTATACTCATGTGCTTTGCTATTGATAGTCCGGACAGTCTTGAGAACATTCCCGAAGTAAAATAATGTCCTTCTAATTTTTCTTAACATTGAGTTTTCTATTGTTTTTCATCTATAGAAATGGACGCCGGAAGTAAAACATTTTTGTCCTAATGTTCCAATTGTACTTGTTGGAAATAAAAAAGATTTACGTAATGATGAAGCAACAAAAAAGGAATTAATGAAAATGAAACAAGAACCTGTACGTAGTGAAGAAGGACGTAATATGGCGGAAAAAATTGGCGCCGTAGGTTATCTTGAATGCTCAGCTAAGACAAAAGAAGGTGTACGTGAAGTATTTGAACATGCAGCACGAGCTGCATTAGCACGAAAGAAGAAACGTAAAGGTGGTTGTATTATGATCTGAGACAAACAAAATTATTCATTGCGTGTGCGAAATTACTAGTCGAAATATTTAAAAGAAACAAAAACAAAACAAAATAAAATAAACAATATTCTATATCTTACAACATCTTGTTACCTAGTCGTGTGCGTGTGTTTCTAAGAACAAACTATAAACTAAACATAATATTGGACTTTTTTTTTTCTCCTTTTCTTTTTCTACTCATTATTCTACAATTACTTATCCTTTTCTGTCCCCCTTGATTCTCTTACTGTATATTTCATTATTATTATTACTTTTTTTTTTTTTTTTGAATACTCTGTATTGCTATTATTACTGTTGCTTCTCGGTCGAGAGTTGAATGAGTGTACGTTTTTTTTTGTATATTACGTTGATCCCTACATCTTCTTTTCGTTTTTTTTTTAAACAAAAAATAAAACACACACATCTTTGAATCGAGAGAAGTATTGAATCCTTTCCTCTCTTTTTTTTTCTTCTTGTTTAATAATAATAATAATAATAATAAAGAAAGAAAAGAAATCGAAATTATATGGTTAAGTTGTTTCGATAAATGTTTGTGTTGTCTAATAGTGTTGAGCTTTACGACGGGCGGCAACATGTGAATCACGTGCTGCTCTTGCTACTGATATTTTAATGGATTTTTTCAAAACTTCAGTTTGTTGCTTTAAAGATAGATGATTATTTGATAACAATGATTCACTTTTTTCAAATAAATGATGACTAGTATTGAATTTGGATGAATATTGTGATTGAAGTGTTTCAAAAACATTAGGTAATTTCGTTTTATTTCTTATATCATATTTTTTATCTGGAATATAAATGCTTTTTTCCCATTCCATTGATGCATTGAGATTATGAAGAAGAAGGCTTGGACTATCTGATATTGATGCATCACTTTCATCACTAACATCAGAATCATCGATCGATGATGTACTATGTTGTCGACGGCCTAAATAAAGTTAATCATGTTGTTAATTTAAAAGAAAAACTTAATAAAAAATATTTTGAATTTGGTATATGTTAAAAAAAAATGGTGAAATCATTGTATACTTTCAAAAAAGTTGAGTATTGTTTATAAAGAAATCATCTGTTAGGACATTTTTGGTAATCGATATTGCTCATTATTCTAAAATACTAAGAATAGAGATGTAACTCATTTGGTGCTTGTCAAATTAAACTTGCCCGTATATATGAGATTATGTTAATTTGTATTACTATACTCTGATTCTCAGAAAATAAAATTATCTTATTGAGAAGATGAACAGTTAAGAAATATCTAGTACATAATATCTTATCTATTTAATGTAATCAGATGTCGAACAGACGATATATGCGTAGGATTCATATTTTATATTTTGATATGATCTGTCTAAGAAATAATATACAATTTTCATTTATCCTTAAAAGCACAATTATTCTTCGATAAATTTAGTATTGGTATTAGTCAAGTATTAATTTATACTTCAAGGAAGATATTAATAAATCATGATTTACTGATGCGTAGACAGGAATTTGTAAACTATAAGTATTTGCACCTGAAAGCCTTCTCTATAAAACTAGGCGAGTTTTACTGGATTTTAATCAAAGGACGAAGTAGTGGCTGAAAAATTGAGTTAAGATTTTTCAATCTAACTTTTTAATATGTTTCATGATAAGAACATAACTATTTTAACTGCAAACTATAACAATATTCTTAGACTTATAAAATTTACTTATTAGATAAAATTTCATGTGCACATTTTCCTATTCAATTTTCTTACCGATGCTTTATCTTATGTTAAAATTCTAGTACATATGCCGTAGCCCTTATAGAGACAGAGCCTATCTGATGAAATCTTTTTCAAGTTATTTTAATATTAAGATACTCTCAACTTGTCGAAAAGTAATGAATCCCTTCAAGCAGTGCTGCCGTCAGCAATTCTTTTTTTCCTCTGTCAATAGAATTTAATATTTAATTTGAAATAATTTGTACTGTAAAATATTATATTAAAGGACATCGGGCGAAAGACAACGGAAAATTCTGTTCTTAAAGTTTGCTCCGATGCATCTATGAATCATTACATATAAAAATGAATAGTTTGATTCTATATGAACGAGCATTAAATCTGATGAATTTTACATAATCATCTGAGAGAAGATTGAACACACATAGAACATCAAATTATATTAGCTGAGATTATTGTCGAATGTGTCACTACACAATGCATTTTTTTTTTCTTATACTCGTTCGAGTGTATTAAAGCATTAATACATGTTATGAATAAGATAACAACATTATCTTTCTTTTATTTTAATGAAAAAAGGAATTCTTTCTGATCTGAGTTTAATAAAAGAAAATGAATGAAAATTTACATACGTTTATTAAGTTTTCTAAAAAATCGTCTTTGTCCACTTTCATGTTGTAATTCATGTAGTTTCATTTTAGCATCATGTTGATCAAAAGCTAGTCGACTAAGTGCTTCGTTTTTTTGAAAATTTATTTTTCTAAGTTTAACATGTAGTTGAACTAATTCTTGTTGATTTTTATATCGTGCACGTGTTTGAGAATCTAAGATTTTTAATGGTCGTGATGGTGTTACACGAGAACCATTGTGGCCTATCTTATTATTCATTCTTTAAAAAAATTAAATGTATACGTTTTTCAAAAATTTCAAAAAGGTATATGACGACAAACAAATCATTTATAAAAACATTTATGTAAAAGAACAACTTTGAAATGTTTCACAATCAATACTTTTACCTATCTCGCTTTGTAATGTGTTCGTTGAAAAAGAAAAACTCGTCTCGATTTAAATGCAAGCTTCGTAGCTTTTTAGCTTTGCAAAGTGAGAAATCTAAGTGTTATAAACATGACAAAAGACTTCTTTTCTCTATTCCATTTAATGTAAACAATAGACGCATTATGCCTAGGAATCGTTAAATGCAATCGATTGTTTTCGACGAATAGTAAAAATGTTTTTATTTTAAATTAAATAAATATATTTTTTTAATGTAACAATGCTCTAATTAGTCTTATTCATTGTTTAAGTATAACAAGTATTTCAAAAGAACTCGTACTAAATCTCAGGACATTTCTTCATCATAAAACAAAATTCCTCTAATGCCTTCAGATAGAGAATTTCGAGGTCTACAAAATTGTTGACATTGTTTCTTAAAAAGCCTTTTTCGGTCAGCACAAAATTAAGAAGAAGAACGTCTATTTAGCCGTCTCAGTATGAAGGTCAAAACAACAGCAAAAGAAAAGAAACTGATGATAATTGTTGAGTAAAGGTCACAATGAATCTTTAACTGTTTCTTATTCTCCTACATCTCGGAATGCATGTTTCAGAATTGTAGAACAAATATCCGAGGGAAACAATTTTGAAATTAAAAAACATAGAAACATTAGAAAAAATTATTTTTCTGGTAGATCTATGTTATCACTAGTTTCTTATTCAAAAACAAACCTAAATATTTTCATGATTCAATTTAATCTTTACACAGTTTTGTTCAGCGTTCAGTTTTATATCCGCTAGCATAATATTAAATCTTTCATGAAACAAATCTAGCTTTTGAAAACATGATTTTTCAAAGTGTCATAAGAAATACTGACAGTTGTCAGCTCGTAATTTTGTCTCATAAACATCAGCCTATGGAATCTTGACAAGACCGCTGAGGGATAGACCATCAATTTGTTTATCTATTGGTACTGAGTAATTTACTTTTGGGATCGATCTTGATCAGCAAAATTTTTACACAAATGAATAAGTTTCAACAGAGAATAGTAAATCATAGTAAAATGGTTCAGTAGACGTAAATCATTTTGGCATCGAGAAGATTGAACTTATTTGACAACCAAAAACTTGTCAGTTTTGTGCAACTTGTAATTCTTTATCTTTCACCATATACGGAAAACTTTTTATTCTTAGGAAGTAAGAGAAAAAGGCACCAAGAATTGATGCAATTTATTATGAAACATTCGTTCGTAAATTTATATTTGGAATTATTTTTACAACTATTGGTTTCCTCAGCAAAAAATTCAAAATATTGTATTACATTGGTACATCAATATTCTATTTCGTGGCCGATAATATGCACTGTTATGAATAAGGCTAATTCATTAAGAGTACCGTTGATCCAAATAAGAACCAAAGTATAGTGTACAAAACAAACAGTATCTATATATAGGGTTGATCATAAAGAGCACCACAATAAAAAACTGCAATATCTTCACTTCAGTCCACTCGAATAGACCGATTCTTGCGTTAGTTGAAGAAACTTATTTAAAGTTTTTCTCATACGGATCAAGCACACAAATACTACTGTCGAACAAGAAAAATATTCAGAAATTACTTCTTAGATAATTTTCAGTTATCATCCAAGGAAATAATAATCAGAAATCGAAATGAACTATATTGATGCACACAGACAAAGTGTTCGAAACTATTCAGATAAAATCTTGAAATTCGTGCTTCGTAAGTAAAAACATACATTGTAATCCTGTGGGCACTAATTCCCTTATAAAACTTAATATTTCATGTTTAAAAATTCGGTGTTGCGAAATTCTTGACTTCTAAACGATTATTTCTGAGAATTTGCTCTATATGCATGAATAGAGTATCTCATTCATAAAGTTCATTTTCATTTCTTCTTATTTTTCCTACTTGATTAACAGGTTAATTGCTTTCGTGATATCAACAGTAACACATAATATAATTATACACTTCCTTCATTCTTATGAAAAACAAGAAAAAAAGCAGCCCTTTTGATTGAATCAATGCAGAGATCTTTAACTTTTTGTTTTTTAATGATAATGTTATTTATCGCGCACCTTGTATATTACAATATTAACTTAGAAAATAATATTTTTCAATGGATATGCACGTTTTCTTCAGATATGTGTACTTCATTCACTAATTACTTTGATTATATATAGCTCTGCTTGACTCCTAAAAAAACCAAGTGCTGAATGTGAATGAATTGTACAGATCGTGTAGAAGTTAATGCATTGAGGGAACGATTGTTTTCTATCCCATTTCCTCCAGAAATAGAGATCGGGAATGGTATTAAAAAATGGGCATTACCGAAAATCTTTATGTATATATATATATACATATACTCTCTAAACTTTGTGCTTTCAAACAAAACATGTCGAAGTCAATCCAATGTTACATTGTTGACAATTGGATTATTAACATTCTTTAAGAGACTCTTGCATAGTTTATTAAGCAAAAGAGAAAAATAGCAAGTATCTATGAACCAAAATTGGACGAATTCGTTTATTATTCATTAAATTGTAACTAAATTATCGAAATTATCATTTTCTTTATGGTTATCATCTTCGTGAGACTATCACTCAGATTATCTTTAAATATAGTATTATTTTTTATTTCTTTTTAATTTATATTAGTTGATGTGCTAGTACTTTATTCTCTTTTGTATTGTTTAATTGATGAAGGAAACAATTCTCGTAACTTAACCTTGATAAATTGTAGCATATCATTGATTTATTCTACTGAAATGTACCTCCAATTATAATTTTATTTTTTATGCGAGATCATTTCATGCTGCTTATAGTGCGACGTCACCAGAAGCTATTGTTTAGTACTGATAGTTTTTCTCAAACACTAAAAATAAAATCGTAATAGGAATTCTAAAAGCATTAGGAAAATTGAGCTCAGTCATCTTCGTAGGGTACTTATCTAAATACCCAAGAAAAGATAAAAACTATTCCTTACGCGAAAGAAACTTGATGATCAAAAATACTTTTATCGTATTCATGTGAACCTTCATTTCATGAAATGAAGCTACAAAAAAAAAATGAAGTTAGTAGAAAAAAAACACTTTGTTTGGTTTTGTTAGAATCTTTAAAATTGTAATGTCAACATCGAATAAATTCTATAGCTTAGAAATCAGGTTGTATTACGATTATTTAATGTAACGTAAGATAGAGTTAACTGACACCTAATTAGAATAAGAGAAGTTTCTTAATGTTGAAAATAAAGAACAGTATGTAAATTGTAAAAAGTTACATGTACCCATAATATAATGAAGAATTATTGAGTAAAAAAGAATCAAAACTTAGCATTGTAGTTTTATATGAACTAATTTTAGGACAAGAGATATGTAGCTTTTCTTTTTTTCTTTGAATGACTCATTATTAAGGGATCTTATTTAACAACAAGACTATTTATATATTCGTATTAAAAACTAAAGCATACAGATGATTTGTAAATGAAATGATAATTTGTTTTTATGTAGAACAAAAAAAAAAGGTATTTTTGTGCGCCAAATCTTCGTCTAATAGAAACTAACATTCGTATTTTTTCTTTTTTTGCAATGTTACAACTACTATTCATTATTCGTAAGTAGTTGATAATTAATTTTGTTAACTAAATACTTCCATAGTTTTGCGATGATATAGTTCGTGAATTCTATAATATATGAGGCATATTATTAAGAATATGTAGTAATAATATTTGAAATAGTAGACGATACATTAGTAATTTATATTTGTTATTCAAAGTATTGTACTTATGGCTAAAACATGACATTATCAATAATGTTCTTCTATTAATATTTATTATATTTTCCATTGAAAACAAAATGAGAATAGAATAAAAAAAGATTCATTCTACATGTTTTATTTTGATCTATTTTTAGCATAATAAGAATAATATTTTTTATAAGTTAGATTATCGAAAATGATGTTAATCACACATGATTACTTCTTAACATTTGTAAAAAAATAAAATAAAAAATAAAACAATACTGAATAATTTTATCTTGTAGTTCTATTCCAAATTCAAACACTTCATGCATTTGAATGCTATTATTGTAATGATGAACAAGGTTATTATTGTCCTCAACCATTTCCGACAAAATCAATGTTTAATAATAATGAACAATACAGTAAACAAATAAAAAATATAGCCATTAGTTCTAGTAATAATCCATTAATGGAACCAATCGTTAGTTGCTTCGTGCGTAAGATAATTCTTTCTATTTCGTTTTTTAAAGAATGTATATATTGTTTTTATCATAGAAAACTAACTATTATAACAAAAATTATGAATATAAAAATACATATCGAGGTTCAATAAAACGCTCGATGAATGATTCTATAATATGTAACTCGAATTATCGATTATCACAAAATCCAAACTATCCTGGTTGGGAAAAAACATATTGTTGCTATCATAATCGATGTAATCTATCACGAACTATTATCAAAGATACTAATACAATTATTTTATTATATATTATTTCAATATTACTCATTGATCTGTGAAATAACTGTGTCAATTACGTTTTTTTTTGCTTTATTATATCGTCGCTACATATAAATTAATATAGGCAACATTTCATGAAAGTAAATTACTTAGAAAATAATCCAAATAGATATTCTAATATTCTATGGAACAGTGTTGTATTAATAATATATATCCTTTAGCTAGTTTTATAATGAATAAAACATTATCTATTTAAATTCCATTTAAAAATAAAAGAGAATAATATTTTCTTTGTAATTATAAAGAGAGAACTTGAAAATTATGAATATAGATAATTATTAATACAGCTCTAAATAATCAGTAATAGATTCAATTGTTATATCATGTTTCTAAATCTGTTTTTTTCTTTTCTTTTCTTAAATTTAATTAGCCATATAATAAAGGATATCGAAATAAATCTCTATTTATACTTTTCAAACTTTTGGTCCTGTCACGCAATAAGAACAAACAAGAATCTACATAGATGATAATATGGTTGCCATGAAAATATTGGCCTAAAAATATAGTCTTTCATTTGTGAATATTAATGATTTTATCGAAAATTACAGAAAAAAAACATTACTCAAGCTCATTTAATAAAGCTTTAGATGTTCCTATAGACATTTGTTCAAGAGATGAATTATTTATCATGTAATAGAAAAAATTGTCCTGTAGCGATTGCCGTTGTTGTTGTTCTTTTTTTAAATATTCTATTATTATTTCGTTTTGTCCAAGTACAAGATGCAAATGAATGATGTTTATTTCTCTTGTTCTATTTTTCTTAATTCATTATATCTCAATATTTAAGATCATCTATGTTTAATAAGTCTATAAACACAAACATTCAAGCATCATGTCTATTTATTTAATAGGTTTTGTTCTCTTTTCATACTAATATAGGATATGTCGTATTTTACGACACAATTTGTAAGACATGAAACTAAGACATGAGTTATTCACTGCAATACATTCTTTCAAGTGAACTACTTGTCACACATATGGATGCATGATTTGATTTGAGACTTTCTCATGTTCTGTTAATTTTTCTATACGGATATGAGTAATTATTATTATTTTAGTTTGATTCGAATTTGTAGCACATATTCTTGGAGCCTAAAATAATACGGTCTCGAATAAATCTAACCGCTTCGAGTCGGCTTGATCTCGATTGAAGTCTTTGAATAAAACCTATTCTTAATCTCAACAGTATGCGTAGAGAACAAAATAAGTGAATTAATGCCTGTAAGATAGACTAACAGCTCATCTTCATAGTTAAACTCTGCAAAAATATCATAAACGCCCATATAAGTACAATATATTTTATTTCAGTATGTAATATGGTAATCATTCAATCGCTTACAGCATTCGTAACTGGAGCTACTACTACTTTTTTAATGATCATTATTTATAATATTCAACCGTCGACTCGGGTTTAATTAGTTCTGTTTTTTCTGTGAATGCCTTTGATACAAAAAGGAAACAAGAAAAAAAAATGTCATATGGTTGTGTGCATACTAATCTATAGCACAAAAAAAATAAGCATGATTAGTGTAAGAAAACACACTGCATAACTCATTATGTTTATTAGTTATTACTTTTGTCTTTGTTCATATTCTTACACTATCTATTGGATTCGTAATAGTCGATGACCTCAATAGATTATTAATTTGATAGTGCAAAATGGATGAATAAACATTGGGTAGATGACTTGAAACTTTGATTATGCGTATTATAATCAATGAATATGATCAGAAGTATAAAACAAAACATGTCAATCTTTACTATTTAGTTCATGTCTTTTGTTTTTCTTTATAATATTATTAATATGGAAATATTCACTTGAATAGTTCCTTTTGTTTTATCAGTATTAGATCGAAATAATATGAGAAAAAATTTGTTTGCATGTTGAAAATTAATCATTTTTTAAAATTTCTTTTTCTTTTGGCTAAGTAATTCTTTAATAGCATCTTTATAATTGATTATATCTTTAGTAAATAACATGATTTTAGTTTTGTTTTTATATCTATTCCGACTGTTAATGATAGTGTCTTAGCGATATATATGTATGTATGCTTTTTGTCTACACAGCAGCATAACACAAGAGAAGACGATGGAGAGAAAGACGAGAATGACAGCTATGGTAAAGAAGAAAGTCTAACAGTCTTTTATGAGAAAACTAGAAACAGAGAAGAAAAAAGAAAAATATTAGTATTGATGCGTATTTAACAGAGTATTGAGAAGAAGAATGCCATCATACTTTTATTGATAAAATCTATTCGTCCGCTTCATTTTTTTGTTTTTTAGAAATCCGAACGTGTTTACTTTCATTTGATTGAGCTTTTATAATCAAAGGAAAAAGTAGGCAACGACGTAAATAGAATGTCATTCAATGTTATTTATCATTGTTCAATATAAAACGGTAATTATTAATACAAAAAAATAGGAAAAATGGATCAATATAACATGTCATTGACTTCGACCTTTTCAACTCTTCTCCTTCTTCTTACAAATCAATCATTCAATCGAACATTATCATCATCATTATCATCGATTAGTAAAAATAACGTTATGCGTTATTCTCAAGTTGTATATGTCGCCGCATTAGTGATTCTTGGTGTTTCTGGGAATATAATATGTGCCATCGTCTTTTGTACTAAATCATTAAGGTAAATAAGAACAAAAGAAAAAAGATAACTATTCAATTAGATAAATGAATCTGTCAACTTACAAAATGATTCTTTTATTCTCTATGACATTAAACTCTTTTTCTTCCTTCCTATCTTTTTTCATAAAGATAAAAGAAAAATTTGAAATAAAATGTATTTTTTTTAGACGTATTCGATCATCACCATATTTATTTATTTTGGCAATAATTGATGCTTTTTTTATTCTTGATCTTTTACCCGGTATGCTTCATACAGCTTTCTTTAGTGATCTATATCGTAAAATTCGTTGTATTTGTTATGTTCAAACGTATATATCATTTGTTGCTTCATTCGTACACATATGGATGGTGCTTGTATTTACGGCGGAGCGATTTTTTGCTGTAAATTTTCCATTAAAACATATGTCACAATGTACACCAAACTTATCTCGTATAGTGATATTAATAATAATTATACCTCCATTTATATGTTATATTCATCCAGCATTTTTCGTATCTGAAGTTGATAATAAAGGACAATGTCGAGAAAAAGATGGTTATGAACGTTATTTAAATAATCTTAATATAATTGATACAATAATGACAATGTTTTTACCATTTATTCTTGTCTTAATATTAAATATACTTATTATAAGAAAATTATTTTGTTCAAAAGCGTTTCGTGAACATGCTTTTGCCAATGGTTCACGTTATCAATGTCAACGTGCATCGAATGGAAAAAAGAAAATAAATTCAACATCGATAAAACAAATTTCAACATCATTAACACCAATAATAGGTCTTTCACAATCAAATTCAATATTATCCCATCGTTCACAACGTATTATTCGTCCATTTCGCTCGACAAGAAAACGAGAACCATTATGTTTATATCGAACATTTACTAATGCTGAATCATCACAAGTAAATATAAATAATAATGACACTAATAATAATCCGTTAATTGAACAACAAGAATCAATGAGATTAAAATCAACTTTTACCAAACACCAAATACCATTATCAAAACGTCATGAATCAGCACAACGACATGTATTAACTGAATTGCGTTTAACAAAAATGCTTTTAGCTATATCATTAACATGTCTTTCTTTAAATTTTCCATCATATTATCTTCGTTTTCTGTTTTTATATGAACGATCAGAAGAAAATTCAGCGTCAAATAAGACTACTACTACTACACATGAAAGTGACTTTCCTTTCTATCGGAATGTCATTTTTCTTTGTATGTCATATTTGAGTTATTCAATTAATATTTTTATTTATTTATTATTTGGTGGAAATTTTCGTCGGGCTTTAAAACGTCTGTTTTCATTCACACCATCACGTGCAGAAAACTTCAATACGACTTTACGTAGAAAAGCGTTCTTCAACAATGAAAAACAATATGGAAATATGACTGATTATGATTCAATAGCAATGACATCAACATCACTTAATGATTCTTTACGTGGTTCTTCCAAATCGTTTAAATTACGAGATCAATCTAGTTTATATCGTCCATCACAAAAGCAACCAATTTTTACAAGTTAACAAAATATGATACAATAATCAAGAAATATAATCATTAATGTGGAAAAAAAACGAGCTTTATTTCAGAAAAGTTCCGGTGATTATTTATTGCATTTTGTTTTCGTGTGCATTATAACATAAAAAGCTTTTTTTTTCCAAAAATAAGATATCACAAACCAGATGAATTCATTTTTATTTATCATGTTTTTGAAATAATAATTGTAAATTATGTTTCTATATCATGTCACGAAATATCAGTAGAACTAATTGTCTACTTCACGATCAATATTAATCGATTAAGACCAACATGCACACACACACCCACGCAAACCTTCTATTTGTTCTTTAATTGTAAAATCTCAGTACAACTGTTCACAGGTAAGAAAATGCAAAAAGAAAAACAAAACAAAACAAAACTCAAGATACAATCTGTATCATAGAAACAATATTTGGACGGATTTAAAAAAAAAAGAAAACAAAACTTGATAAAAAGCCAAAAAGAAAAAACAAAACGAACAAATAAGCTTATATATCATACTAGTCTACATCATAGTCAGAAACAAAAATAAACAAATACGTTGTCCTTCGAAGACTCATATGGTCGAGAAAAAATTGCCTATTTATATAAGTATACAAGATACAAAAAAAAACAAAGAAAGAAAAAAAACGAAAATGTGTTCATTAAAATACACTAAAACATATTTCTTTTTCAAATGAATAAATGAAATGTGTTATTCCAAGAACATACACATGTCTATCAAGAAAAAAAAAAAAAAAAATTTCTGTCGAAAAAATTGACATAAATTATTAATAAACACAAGAACAAATAAGAATTATAGTCAGACAATTAAAAAAAAACTGTGTAAAACAATATTTTTCAATTATTTTATAGAGTAGCATCACTATCCATATCAGTATATGGTAATGTTGTTGGTAGTTCAATTAAAGCAACAGAATGATGTTTGACATGACGATATTTTCTTGTTATTGCCCATTTATCATGTACTTGCGCTTTGGCTACAAGGAAAAAAATTTTTTCCATTATCAAATAAAATGATTGAATTGTATAACCAGTTGTTTGTTTCATTGTATTTGACTAAAACAATATGTGTAAACGATCGTTTTACGAGAAAAAAAAGAACTTTTTTTTTGTAATGTAATATATTTACCCAAGGTGGTTTATGACGCATGTGAAGTGCAAGACATAATATAGCAGCAGCTTGTAAACTTGATAAATGTTGAAGACACTCAGGATCAAGAAGAGTTAATTCAGCAATGTACTAAGAAAAAACAATAAAATAAAATTAATTTTGTAAAACAAAAGTAATTCGAACAACAACAAAAAAAATTATTTATTTATCTTTATAGTATGAACATTTTATTAATTTAATTCAGGTTAGAATAGATTGATCTTTTAGAAAAATACTTATAATAAAAGTTGAAATATGCGTATACTTTAGGAACTGACTAGATGCGTCATTTCATTTCGCTATAAGGCATGTCAAAAAAATTATGAATCGTTATTCATTGGACACACATAAAACAGCTTATAATTAGCCGTGACAAAATTTTTACAATATTACATTTTTTCGGATTTAAAAATATAATTAAAACAGTTGATTTCTTTTTTTTCAAACGTATAAAAAGACATGAAAAGGGAACATGCATATTGTTAATGTACTTGTCTTAAAGAGATATTTGGAACCATTAGATTTATTTTAAATTATATAATATTAATTATAATTCATACGTTATTGAGTATACTATTGGAGGCATAATGAAAAGAGAATAAGACTTCTAGATTAGAAATTTTGTTGTTTATTCTTTTTATGCCTATCTCATCTGAATGCTACGATTTTTAATAAAATTTTTTTTTTCACAGATTCTATCCACAAATAGGTTTGACATAGGAGTTATTTTTCTTACAAAGTTAATTAGATTACATACGAAAAAGAAAATGTTTAAAAGCAATAGCTTGCTAATGATTGATCCACTATAAATAACATTATTAACTTTTTATTTTAATTTATCATTGATTAAACTATTGAATACAATAACTATAATCATTTTTTTAAATACTTTTCAAATTTCTCCTGATGAAAAATATTGTGACAATAAAAATAGTTATTTTTAATGACTTTCAAACATTTGAACATGGCTACGTATATTTGATTTTGCGATTTGAATATTACATTAGGTTATGAATCTTTCGAAAAAGAAATTAGCGTTTTCTTATATTCTTAAATGAACACATATGCAAACATTTTACTGTATCAAGTACAACAGTTACTTTTTAGTTCAAATCAAAAACATTAATATTTATCTCATTTTTAACGATTGATATAGAAAAACAATATCGATTTTATCCTCGAGTTTTATATTGGCATCTATTGAGTTAATAATCTTTGGTACTTCATTCTATTTTGATTATTTAAATAAAACCAGAAAAACCTCATGAGTAATTTAACAAATACTGCTAAACTATACAATTATTTGTTTTAAATCAACATATGTCTTTAATGGCAATTGACGTAGATATATCTATCTTGAAAATTAATCCATCGACTTAATCTTACGAAAGATCATCGATATTACAAGTGCATTCAAAAAAAACTAAAATCATGTGAACGATAAATGTTATTTTAACAACAACAATAGCTTTATAAAGGTTCGATCATTTTGCTGAATTCATTTTACAATAGAATTTTCTTAATATAAATATACTTTTCGAATTAAATCTAATTTCAAAACTAATTTTTAACAACTAAGTTGATTTGAAAGATTTTCTTTTTCTATTATTTTTAATTAGTAAAATATTATTTCTCTATTAATCATATACAACTTCTAAAATCAAAATATATTTTGTTTCACAAAACACATAAATTCAATTATTATTAGATTATTGGGAAGGGAAACAAAAATTCTAAATTAAAAAAAAAAAATTATACCAAATTTATAGTTTATCAGTATTCAAGTTGAAGTCTAGATTTTGTATATAGACGATAAACAGTGTGCTCTAGAAATCAAAAATAATATTAATATAATTTTCAAAAATTATTATTTGAATAAATCTATCGATTGGATTAAACAGCTGTAATTAAGCTCTAGTAATTTTAATATTTTATCTCTTAATGAGAATATTTATTAGTTTTATATTGTTTCTCATAGTTCAAATATATGAATATCTATAATCTTAGTAAATACTAAACATTAAAATCATTCTGTAATTTATTTGTTAGATTAAATTAAATTAAATAAAGCTTATATTAACTAAATTACAGTTTTTCATACAATTGATTTTAAGATAAATATAGAAAATATTTGTCTTTACTTTACCACATATTATTAGCTTTATATTAATATTATTAATTATTGGAAAATCATATGGTTGCATCCCTGCAAGGAATTAGAATTTTACAATGTGATAGTTTGCCTTAACAACTTTAACATTTAATATTAATTCTTTTGGAGTAAAAAAAAACAATTTCAATAAAATATTTCGTATTTGTTATATAGCGACTTTTTTTTTTTTCGTCTACTTCTTACCCTCGCTAAATCTTCAGTAACTTCATCAACTTGAGCTAATTTAAGATAATGTAATAAAAATGTATGTGTTGTTACAGTTGATACTTCAAAATGAAGTGTTTGTAATAAAAGATCTTCTATTTTCAATACTTGTTTTTTTGTATATGCATTATCAGTAACATAAGCAAATTCAGCTGCATTTGGTGGATAAACTTCTTCACATTTTCTGAAAAATAAATTTTTTTTTTTTTGATTTTATTATTAAAATAATAAATCAAAAAAAAAATGTATATATAAAACAAACATACGCAGCTAAATAAAGTGCTGTTGTACCAATTAATTGAAATTTTGATTTTGTTACTGACATACGTGAAAGAAAACGATCAATAAAATTAACAGCTAAATGAAGAGTTTCAGAAAATAATTTATATTCATCAGCTACTTCTGATAACCAATCAATTAATATCGCTCTCATATCCCATGTTAATTCAGTTTGTTTACGCATATAATTTGGTTTTGGTCGTGATGCATTCTATGATGAATAAAAATAAATAAAAAAAAAAAAGAATTCATTTATTTGAAATCAATAATTAAAATATTCTTCTTCTTTTTATACTTCTCGTTTTCTAAGATACATTAAGATTTCTGATGCATATTCATCAACATTAATTAAAACTTGTTCATTTTCATTTGCTTTACGTTTTTTTTCTTCACGAATTGCTTTTTGTTTTAAATCAAGATGATTTTCATCATTTATATCATCGATAACTTGAATTGGTTCTATTGTATAATGAATAGATGGAATTTGTATTTTCTTTTGTTCATCTCTTGATAATGTCGATTGTAATCGAGATCCAATTATATTATTATTAGGTTTTCGTGGTGAACGATGTAAACGTTCATCATGTAATGATTGTTGTGATTTATCTGTTGTTTCATTATGTTCTGGTAAATGATGAAGAATTGTATTATCAGAACTTGAATCTGATAAAATTGTTATTGTACCTAAATTAATTTGATTTTGATAAGCAACTGGACATGATGTATGATTATGTTTATCAATTTTATGATTTGATTTTGATTTTGGTATAATAACTAAATGATTTGATATAGTTTTTGAATCATTATTTGAATTTATTAATGATTTAGTTGATGGATTTGTTGTATCAGTTGAATAACGTTTATTTTGATTGGATGTACAATCTGTTTGATTTATTGTTGATGAAGGATTTGAAATAGTTGAACGATTATTATTAAGTGTTATTAATGATGAATATGTTGATGCTGATGTTGTTGTTGATGTTGATGGTGCAACTTCATTTGTTGATGTTCGACGATTTGAGGATAATGATGATGATGAACGTGATGATAATGAAACTGGACAGTTTTGTTGATAAGTACGAGATGATAATTGTTGTTGAGGTTGTGATCGATTATATGAAACAGTATTATAAGATGAGGGTGGATGATTAGATGTTTCAGATTCTGGACGTCTACGTCGATAACTATTTGATGTTGAATGTTCACGATTTGATGTTAGAACATGTACAGTACTTTTATAACGAGAATTTGAACGGTTTATTGGTGCTTGAAAAGTTGTGTCTGATGGAATATGAACTTTAGGAACACGAGACTAAAGACAAAAAAATCATTTAGTTTTATTTTCTAATTTGTATATTGTTACCTGATGAATTGTTGTAGCTGACATAATTGAATAATAATAACAAGAAAAAAAAAAGTTTTTCTTTTTATTGTTATTCTTATTATCAAAAAAAAATGAAGTAATAAATCACATTTTTTCGTCTTTTTTTTTGTCAATGCTTTCGATTCATCTAGAAAAGAAAAATATAACATCTGTAGGTTACGGCATAATAAGATGTCTGAATGCCTATGTAATTATTTTAAAGAAATGTTTATTGACATAGTTTGAAATAAAAAATTTGTCTATTGGACAAATCAATTTTCTCCCAATCATAAAAATACAAAGACATGGAATAAAGAAAAAGAAAAATTGAAATTGAAATTTCTTTTCTTTTGTAGTTTTGTGCTCTCTCTCGAAAATTCGTTTTAGACATCGAGCATATGTATGTGTTTTTTTTTTGTGGTGATGCGGCACAGTCATTCACGGAAAAAAAATATATATGTTTTTGATAGTCTTTAGTTTTTAAACATCAATGTTATTCAACTTGAACATGTTCGATTGTGTTAATGTGTGATCCATAATTAGAAAAAATATTTAAGTTTACTACCAAACAAAAACAAAAGAAAGATAAGAACAAAAAATTACAGCTAACTATTACGTGAAAAAAAACACAACAGATGTTGACATCAATATTTTTTTCTCATCATTCAGAAAAAAAGAAGGAAAGTTATATATATGCTTAAATGATAAGAAAGATGTGATTTTCTTTTCTTTTTTTTTTTTACCTTCCTTTCAGTTTGATCCAGGAAACGAACCAAAGTATCAATTAAAATACTTGACTTGCATCAATCTATCGATCACTCACTCACACTTTCATTGTGTGAACAAACAATTTGCAATTCTCATATGAAAAGTTTAATTCGTCTTTTTCTCTTGTTTCTTTTTCATTTTTTTTAACGTGATAATAAAAAACTATCGACGACATACATACCAACATACAAATTTCGTGATGTTTTCATTAGCCATAACCATCGCAGTTGGCTTAGATAAACCTTTACGACAATTATAAAGTCTTTGTGACGGATAGATTTTATTTTTGTTTTATTCTTATCTCATATTTACTAAATAAAATCTTTCGAATACAGAAAAAACTTTATCAGGAAAAAAAAAAGTATTTGTCTAGATGACGCTATCATCATCGATATAAATACAGCGACAATCTTAAAAGAGATTTATTTCTTTTATTTTCTTATAAAATCAATTGTTTTTTTTTGTTCTTATTTAAACTATTACAAAAAAAAATGACTAAAGCTATTTACAAAGGATTGACCGATGTAATAAAAATATTAAATGGTTATCAATAACCAATGAAAATAATAAGTCAATTGAAAGAGAAGAAGAAAGAGTGAATGACTAAAACGGTGCCTTGGCAGTTCTTCATCATCATTCGATATATCAAGCATAGTCTTGCGTATCAAAAACTTCTTCTTTTGCTTTTTTTTTTGTGTTTATTTATTCTATATGCTTGTCAAAATAACAATCAATTTAATGAGAGATTTTTTTTTCTGTTTGTTATTAAACTCGAATCAATTTTATTTTATTTAGATGAATCAACATTATTTTAGTGGTGATTAGTATTTCAATGGAACAAGAACGGTAAAATGATTTTCTTTGGTTCTTTTTTTTTTCAAACAATAATTATTTATTTAGTGTATCATCATATATTAATGATCCTGATTTACCTTCTGGTTAGTTAGTTTATGTTTTTTTTTTTCGTTCAAAGAAAAAAACAACCTGTTTGTATATTTTCTTTAGGTCTCGAACAGAAAAATGTTATTATTCAACGAGATCGTTTTGGTTATGGTCTAACAGTATCTGGTGATAATCCTGTTTATGTATTAAGTGTACGTGAAGGTGGTGCTGCACATCGAGCTGGAATAAATACAAATGATCAAATCATAAAGGTAAAACATTTATTATTTAATACCTAAGTCTAATATACTTTGTTTGTGATGTTTTTCTTTTCTTTCTTTATAATTTCATAAAAAGAAATATTAAATTCGATAAAAAATGTCTTTAGCTATATGATAAAAATCATGAATATTTTGATAATAATGTTCATGAGCTGATGATGTTAATGTTGCTGCTAATAAGTCAAGTGTTGTTTTATATCGTATTGTAACATGTTCAGGAATATAACGTATTTCTGTTATAAATTTTTCATTACGTTGTTTTGGAAAAATAAAAAGTGTTGTTGAATAAATATTTAATTGAAATCGTTTATCATAATCATTATTATGAAATAATTTCATAAGATTATTATTTGAATATTTTGAAATATTTTGATCTAATTTAATAGATTCACGTGAACGTAAATATGTATGATCATCTGCATAAGAATAAAATATACGTTCACATGAAACAGGTTGAGGAATTACTTCAACTGTTTCTTGAATACGTGTTTTATTTTTTTGAAAAGGATATAATTCATTTAATAAATTGATTCGACGTAAATCTTTAATAATTGGTTTTTGACGATTTGTTAAATTTGATTGTGATGGATTTATTGGAATAGATGATTGAAATTTAGATAAAGTTGGATATTGTATTTGTGAAAAAGGAGCACATGTTGATTTTGAACTTGGCTGATAATGTTCAGTTGCCATAGTATAAGAATGTAATCTATGATACTTATAATATTGAAGTGATAATATTCATTGTCAATTTGTAAAACTAATATTTGTTGTCTTAATGATCACCTTAAAAAGACAAAGAAAAAGAAGAATGAATGTTTCTGATTATTTAAAATGTATTGAGCATCTATTAAAATATGTATCATACAATCAATCTGTAGATCTTAGTTTTTTTTATCTATTGAGAAATAGACAAACTAAGAGAACTTACGATGAACTATGAATATCGTTGCTAATCCTATCGGAATCAATTAGGTAAACAGTAAAAACAAGAATTTTTCTCTTATTATCTATTTTTTTCACTCTCTTTGTATTTCACAAATATATGAAGTAAAGTTAAGTGGCTGATGTTTCGCTTTATGTTGTACTCTAGCCTCTTTTTTTTCAACAAATTCTCTTTTTTTTTGTTCGACCTATTGTTCTTTTGCTTAGTACCTTCCCACATATTTCTTCCTTTTTTTTCTTGTCTATTCTCTCTTCTTCACTTTCAATAAACTATTATCGCATCTACTAGTGCCAATACCGCCATTTTACGCTTCGCTTCCATTTTCCTTTTATATCTATCATTGCATCATTCGTTAGCTTACCTCATTCTATCATTGTGAACATCAGAGAAAAAAACGAAGAAAACGAATTCGATTTCAATTAGAATGACTTAACCATGAACATCATCATCATAAAAAATACGCTGCCATTTATATCTTTCACTTACTTTCTCTTTTTACTCTCTTTGTAAAGTATTGCGGTTTAAGAATGCGAAAAAAAGAACAGGTAGATAATTGTCATCTAACATAGAACATCGAAGATTGTAAAATATGACCGAACATACTCATTTGTTTGCGTGTCGTTTGCTTGTTTGTTCGTTCTCTTTATCGGATTGTAAAAATATGTATGTAGTATATCGAAAAGGAACTTACAAAGAAGTTAATCATTTCGATAATACGTGAACAAAAAACAAAAATGTCACTTCTAGAGATATTTTTCTTGAACAAATATAAATGATCTATTAATAACCTTGAAAAAAGAAATTTTCCGTGTAAAAGCACAAAAAAGAAAATTTAACATCTCATATGAAACTGATTTATTTTGTCTAGTAAATCGTTCTGGTTGAACACAAATCGATACAATTATACACCTGTTCCATATGGAATAAATTGAACACCTGTTATCTATTTTTTTTTATTACATCATTTGATTTAATTGAAAATTCCTTTATTGAACAGTACTTAGTTTAATAGATGAATATCTGAAAAAAGAATACGAATGTATAAAATCAGTTGAACATATCTTGACATTGAACTATTGAGATAGCATCAAGGGCACTTACACAATTGTATTAAAATCAGTTTTGTGCCTTTCAAGTGATGTATTCATTGATAAAAACAACAAATACAAAAGAAGTATCATGAAATGGAAAAAGAAAACGTAAAAAGGTTCTGTCAGAACTAGAAATAAAAACATAGAATAATTAATGAATATCTGTCACCAAATTTTTGTTTTGCTTTAAGTGAAATGTGAAGTTCTTATCGTAGACAGTACTTGAAAATTGAAACAACGATTATCTAGTAGACAAACAACAGGCTTTTTCGTTTTTCGAGGTCATGTTTCAAAAATAATTGTTTAATAAAGTTGTTAGTTTCGTTTTTTAAGAATAATCTATTGATAAAATCAGTTAATCTTGAACATCAGAATCATCGTTTTATTTCGCTTATCTATAAAATACTTTGCTTTGAACTATTGATAACTATTGTTTTATCTTAAGTTTACATATTAAATTGTCATTATTCATTTTCATTGATGATATTGAATTTTACATTGAAATCGAGTGTACAAAAAGAAAAGAAATTGATTTCATATGCAAACCGAAATCATGACAATAATACAAATTTCTAATGTAAATTTTTGACTGAAAACAAAAAAAGAAAAAGATTTTTCGAGACTTATTAAATTCAAATGAATAAACAATACATTTAATAATATGTCTAAATATTAAGAAAAATTTTATTTTATTGAATAAAATAATAAAAACAAAAGAAAAAAGAAATCAACTTGAATTTATAATTTAATTATGTGTTCAATTCAATTTTTGACATTCATTATTACATCACAATATGTCTAGTTTTTATTTTATTTTTTATGTATATTTCAGGTCAACGGCACGCGCGTAACTCATTGTACTCATATTGATGTTGTCAATCTAATCAAATGTAAGTTAGTCTTGATTGAATATTGTCCATTTTTTGTTGAAATTTATATACAATCATAGAGTTTTTTTCCATCTTCATATTGATGAGAAAAAGAAAAGAAAAGTCAAATGTGTTTATCAATAACTACTACTTCATAGTATTCAGATTTGTAAGATATGATGTCGATATGCCCGATACGGTCGTTTACTTCTTGTCAAGGGTCTTTTCTTTTTTTTCCTCATCTCTTTACTTTGAACGCGAGAGTAAGCATATATATATATATATTAAAGACAAGAGAATGTGTAAATGTGTGAAAGATTATCATCAATCGTCAACGTTTGTTGCTGAGTCGTTGATGTTCTTCTTCCCTATTGATTGTCGTTGTTGGTGATGCAACAAACTGCTACCCTGGTCTTCACCTCCCTTGAAAATCGTTTATCCAAGGACCATACGACAACGTTAATGTTTAAATAAACACAAGAAAAAATATGCAAAGATATACGCTTGATTGAACGGAAAATCGCTTTATACAAATGTATTTTTCGTGATAGCCGGTGGTCGATCGATGTTTTCTTAAGTAGTTTTGCAATGTGTCTACTACATGGCATCATCTATCGCCATATGGCTTGTTTATTTTTCTCATCGGCCCTGATTGATCAGACGTTGTCGTTGCCATCATCATCAACCAGACAGCAGAAATATATAGACAACGACCAGCTTGATAATCTATTCTTGCTAGCATTCTAACAAAGTTACTGCTGTTGTTATTTGTTTGTTGTCTCTTGGTTGGCGTTTTTTTTCTCTGTCTATTTCATATTATTATATTCTGTTACACTTCAAATCATCCATGTCAACAAGATTTCTATTATTGTTTACCGCTTCCATCAGTCGAATTTGACATAATACTTTTTGACCGGTGGCATTTCTTTCATCAATTCCGCCTCTCATCGCTCGGTTCTTATACGAATATGTATAATCATTTATTATTGCCACTTTTCTTCGTAACATATTTTTTTTATAGTGGAAAAACAAAAGAAAAAGGAAAGAAATCTTATTCGTATTTATTTGCTATTACAATTATTACTGAGTGATATTGGCCTTTATGATGATTCGATTTATTACTACCTCATAATGATCGATGAGGTCTTCGAGAAAAAAAAAACTCTAAGACAGAATGATAAAGAATAAAAGAAACACAACAAGATGATATGTACTAGCACACTAGAAGACATCTAAGAAAGAAAGAAAGAAAGACATAAGTCAACGAAGATGAAAAAAAGACATTCGTCTTGTATAATGTCGATTAAGCTCGTCAGTTTTCTTAAGTATTTATGTTTATCTGTAGTCTCATACAAAAGTCAACATCCGATATCTATGGAAAATATTTAGAGATAAAGAACCAAACGAAGAAAAGAACAAGTTCAAATCATTGTCTTTTTTTTTGCTTATTAATTGTTTCCATATTTTTTTCTGTTGTCGTCATCATTGTCATCATCATCATCACTTTTGCTCTTCTCTTCATCTAATAATCATCATCAGCTCGTTTTTTTTTTGTACTGAAACAAATCTTATCAGAAAAGACGAGGAAAAAAGAAGAAAGACTGGTAAAACGTTCTAGTTTTCTGTACAAATATACATAATCATCAGTGCGCATAACTTAATCTGAGAGGTTCTTCTCTCTGATTTCCCGTCTCTTCCTCTCACTATATACATACATATGTATGTATATGTATATCGAAAAGAAAGAGAAGGGCCGGTGCCATCTCTTCTTCTCTCCTGGATTTTCTTCTCTACATCTTCTTCTCTTGTAAGCGCATCGTCGTCATATCGTCATTACGGACGATTTCTTTTGTTACGCGCTGTACGTAGTACAAATCGTGTGGGGGCTATATACTCAGGCGCTGTTTTTGTACATTGAAGATTAACAAGCCATCATTCTCAAAATATAACACATAGAAACACTAGTAGGTGGTAACGGCTACTCGTTACCTTCGAGCACAATCATGGCATAATGTTGAACATCATTTTTTTTCCTTTATTTTTTTTTTCTTCGCATCCTTTCGTTCTCTACATTACATACTACATAGTTCTCTTTTTCTTTTCTTATTCTCGTACTCACATTCGTCTCGTATTTATTAAAGTACAATGTCGTGCTCACTTCTTTCGTCGTTATATATATATAACGAGGCAATTGATTGAAAAAAAAATCATTTGAGGTTTTTTTTTGTTCATTTTACCTCGTTGTGTGATACTCATGATGAATATTCATTAAGTTGTACACATAACACGTTTTAGATTTAAAACAAACTATATATGAGGTGATAATCTGTTAATAGAAAATAACATGGCCACCGCCATATCGGTGAGAATACCAGCTGGTAAATTAGGTACAGTTCGTGTTGATCGAACTATTGATGTTTATCCAGCTTCAATAACAAATGATGAAAGTAATTTTAATTCAAAATCTACTACATCATGTATTCCAACAATTGCATCCCATCGTCAATTGACTAAAACAACTGTAACAGCAAGTCCAATACCATTAATCATTGATCATAATGAACAAGAACAACAAAATGAAGAAGAACATTGTTATGTACCTATTACGAAATGGATTGATAATACAAATGGTAACAATAATAATAATAATAATAAAAATAATAATCTCGATGATGAACAAATGTCTGATATAGCAGTTATTTATTCAGTGGTTCGACATGCGTCAACTCGTCGAACATCATCACCACCAAAAATAATCGTTTCACCAACATTAACTAATAATAATAA